TAAAACTTAAAACGTAACCATTATTTTCCGAGCAAAAAATAAAACTTGAAACGTAACCATTATTTTCCGAGCAAAAAATAAAACTCAAAACATAACGATTATTTTCTGAGTAAAAAATAAAACTCAAAATATAATGATTAAGCTTGATTTTTATAAGTAAAAATTAAAAAATAAAAATCAGTGCCGCTGAAGGTGCTCCGAGTAATAAGAAATATATTGGTTTACTCCTTATGCACGTAGCATTTCTCTTTCCGCGTGATTTTTTGAGTTGAAATTTCAAAGGATAATCGTTATTTGCGGTCCCTGATTTTTCTTTCTCGAGATACATCAGTTTTAAAGTGCAGTATCCGGCCGTGCTACAGTGATTCTGTGGCCGGATTTGGATTTAGCTCCCAGCAATCTACAAGAAACGATGTGTTTTACTCAGGTGGTTGAAAAAAAGGCAAAATTTGTCGAACTGTGTAATCACTCGATGAAGTAAATCTCAATCAGCAACGGATCAATGGGGAACCGCCCTTTTAAATATGACGCTTTTGCTGCTTTCGGATTAACTTGTGTTTGCCTTCTTCAATTTACGCTACTGTATGTTAAGTGCATATGTATGTATATAGCGACAATATAAACAGATTTAAAAGAAAACATAAACAATAACACCATTTATGCGTAATTTTAGTAAATCTTGATTATGTACACAAAAACAATCAGCACAACTGTGTAAGAGTCTCGCTTCAGTGCATATAAGTACATATGTAAGTACTGGAATTATTACCCTGCAGGGAGAACACGAACTAGTGAGTGAACCAATTTTCTAGTTCAGAACTTTTACAAAACTATATTATTTTACTTTTTAAAACTACATACCACTAGCTTAGAGTGAAAATTTTATAAGTGCAGTTTTTATAAAAAATAATATTTTCATGCGAGAAACAAGGCCAATTAAAAATGCATCGTTTTCTAAAATATCGATCTACAATATATTTTTCTTCTAGTCGCTTTCATTCAGAGATATGCAAATTCGCTATGTTTAAAATAGTCATCAAAAAGATGATAAGTTCTAAAGAATACAAACACGTTTCATTATAAATCTATATGACGAATTTCGATCTGGGCTCGTTCCACGTTAATCGATACCGAATGAAACGAAAATAAACTTAAGAATTTGAGTGTATTATTTCTATGTAGTAAGTAAAGTTCATAAATCTACCTTTCAAGTCTTAAAGCCAAAATTTCGGAATTTATCTGAAACTCAGATATATTTTTTACTTTCGGTTGTACAATTTACAAACTCATATAAGAGGTTAATTTTCTTCAAAAATAACAAGACTGATTTTCGTAGTCTATTGCCTATTTTGCATTGTTTCAACGGCCAATGGAGAGAACAATGATACCGTGCAACAAAGCCATAGAAAGTAACGTCATATGGCTTTATTTCACTTCACATGCAGAAATAAGGCCATATGGCTTTATTTTCTTGGGGAAAGTGAAATAAAGCCATAAGCAAATTTTTTTTATGAGAAATAAGGCCATACCGTCTTATTTCAATACAAAAAGTAAATTTTGTCTCTTTAGCAGCGATTTGCGTTGATGATAAACATTCAAATGTACTAGGGCGAATGATACCCGGTGCTTCTATTACCCGGGTAGCCGGGTATTTATACTTGGCCAAGGACTTTCACTTCAGCACTATTCCCCAAAAACTATTAACGGAATGTACATACTATTACACCCCGCAAACATAGTTGACCGCTGAAATAAGTTTACACGTCCTTCTTCTCCGTCAAATATTTTAACGCGTCATTTATCGCCGTCAACTATGTTAAGAGTCTTTCTTCGTTGCAGTTTTTAACCGACTTCCAAAAAAGGAGGAGGTTAACGAAAAACACCCGGGTAACGCGACATAAAGCTTCTTGTATAATCTTTTTGGTGGGTTTTCAGTGAGAACATTTTTTTTAATTTTTTTTTTATGTCTAAAATGTACGCGACTATGCAAACCTATCCGCTGGCCTGAGTAGACGCAGACAAGAAAAGTAAATTAAACCATTAGTTTCTGTACTTAAATACAAACATCCAATATTTGTAAATGCATATACATACATGCATGTGTACATATGTATGTATGTATGTATATTTTAAAGATTATTAAATACTAGTATTTTAAAACAGGGACCGAGAACAAATTGTATGATCGAAACTAAATGTCATTCTCGTAGTTTTGTCCCCACGAACGACTCAAAACCAAAACCAAAATGAGAACAAAACTGACGAGAACAATCTAATTGGGAATTATATAAGAACAAAACCCTGTCGAATGTTCCCAGAGAGAACAAAATGTGAACAATACTTTCGGGAACATTTCTAAGAGAACAAAACGATAACAAAAAAGAACTGAAAGATAGTTATGCAAATAAAGTTAACGAAAGACTTAAGACACGAACTTTTCTTTCACAGAAAATGAAATACTGTTCCATAATGATAGACGATCTGGAAGTTGAAATGATCCAGCTTTCCTCTGGCTTAGAATTAACATCCGTGGTTCTCACTAAAAAAACTTTTCCACCGAACACGCAGACACCCCTCTCATTCTTAACGATAAGTTTTCAAAACTTTTGTTTTCGCCTTGTTCACTAGCAGGACGTTCCTCAAACTTTTATTATTTTTTTCTTTTATGTTTTATTTTTCGCTTTGTGTATTCGGCTCACCCTGGTGTTGATTTTTGTCAAGTAGTTACTTATTATCATTAATAGTACATACATGGCGTATGAGTAACATTCTTACCTAGTCATATTTTATAAAAACGAAATTGTTATTATTATTTTTTTAGCTCCCTACAATTTATTACTTCTACAGTCGTAAAATTATTGCTAATACCTTTAGATACGAATATATATTATAATATTTCCCCATATGGTATGGGTACCCGGGCACCCGAAAAAATGTTGCGAAGTAAAAGCGCATTTCGAGTATAAATATACCGCAAACGAACGTACATAGGAAAAATCTATAAGAAAATTCTATACCATATGCTGAAATATTATAATATATATTCGTATCTAAAGGTAGTAGCAATAATTTTACGACTGTAGAAGTATTAAACTGTAGGGAGTTAAAAAAAAATTACCATACTGCGCGGATACCCGGTCTACCCGGCCCAATCATCAGCCCTAATATGTACATTAGGCTGGTCTAAATACAGTAAAGTCGGAATTGTAATGCTCTCACCTCCTAGAATTGTTCTATATCGAAAGAAAGTATATTCCAATTTTTTTATTTTAAAATCAAAAAATATTTAGAGTTCGCTCAAAGCGCTCAAAGTTTTCCATGTATTTTTATATGGGAAAAACAAGTTTTCGTAGAAATGGTATAGACTTCTTGAAAATCAATATTTTTCGATCGGAAAGCTCTGGTTATCTTCAGGAGACTTACAATGATAATACCCAATTATTAATTTATCCATTTTTTAATACTAACGATTTTTTATTTGTCCCCCCATTGCAATTTTCGGGGTTTTGTGGGTTTTTGGCGGACCTATAAATTATATTTGCGATGAAAAAATGGTTAAATAAATAACTGAGTATTATTATTGGGAATCTTCTGCAGGTGAAAAGAGTTTTCCGGTAGAAAAATATTGGTTTTTTAGAATTCTATTCCATTTCTACGAATAGCTTCCACCCCGAAATGTATCATATATCTGTTTGTGATCACCGATGATAAAGCTAATTATAAAGACACTAACACTCGGTGAACTTCGTCCCACCCAAAATGAATTATGTGTATTGAAACATTATGGTCCAACATGATTTTCAGTGACGCAATTATCTTCTAATGCCAGAAGGCATATTTCCATTGCCGTCTTAAATAACCAAGCAAATGTGTATATGCATACAAAGATACGTAATAGTTTCAGTGCATCTGAAAGGCAGCACGCCCCCCTTTTCAAATAGCCCCAATCTTCTCTAAGAGTATGGGATTAATTTTATATATCTCCATACCATTTTCCAGTACTCTACCATGAACACTTCCAGAGATATGCAATATGAAAAATTCGGTTTGCATGGGAGGTGCCACGGCTCCTGCACCTAGCGGTATGAAATATACTTTACATCCGATTCTCATACCCACCATATATATACAAAAAAGAAAGGTACTTTACTATCACTCAGCCAGACAATGGAGATGAAGAGACCGATCAAGGATTATCCCGTATTTAGGTG